TTTTTATATTACTCCCACAAAATACCGAATTTCTCCCACCATTTGAAAATTTTGACCTGGCAACCCTGCTACCAATATCTGTAAACTTTTTTTTAATTATTGTAGAAATAAAAAAATTAAATTAAATGCATAATTCGATTTTTTTGCATAAAAAATATTGATTTCTTAATTACATTTGGTTCAAAAGGGGGGGGGGGTGAAAAATCAATATAAATATCGGATCGGGTTTGAACCAATATCGGATCGGATCGGTGAAAAATATGTGGATCGGCACAGCCCTATTTTATTTTATTTTTATATAATAAATACATGGTTTGTTATCGGCAAATCTGATATTTTTCAAAGGGTCAATATTTGTTCCGATCTAATACCGTTATTAATATTGATGCATCATTAACGAAATCTGGCCCCGGCTAAAATATTGAGTTAGCTGTTTTTCAAAGTGGGTTCATATCGAGCTGTTTGACACTACAGGGGTGTGCAACCAAAATATGTGACAAAATGCTAGAATTTTATCATATTCTCCTTATAAAAAAACTTTTAATGTTACTTATATAATATAAATTAAATCATTATTAATTTCAAATAAAAAAAATTTGTACATCTATATTGTTAAGAAAAATTGATAATTATATCAACTAGTAAATTGATTTGAACCATTTTATAGCTTGACAATAGATTATTTTTTAAAAAAATATCAACATAATGGCTCACTTATATGATTTCAACACGAACCATAGAATTTTATAATTTATGTTTTATTTATTTCGTGAATGAATTCAGATAAACCTAATAAAAAGGTACAAATCAAATCATTGAACGATTACGAAAAATCTTTTAATCAAATGGTAATATAAATGTATAGCCTCGTCTAGTTATATTCTGAAGAAGAATTTTTTTATATCTTGCAATCAACCGCCAAAACAAATATAAAGTTTAGTTCGCCATTTTCCCATATATAATTATAAATGCTCATTATATATATATATACATAATAATATACAATTTACCAAATTATGATTATGTATGTAATGTAATCTCAAATTCCTTAAAATTAATACTATTTAAATAGCGCATTATTTATTTTTATATAATCAAATTACATTTTTTTATACAATTTTGATTTGTAGAGTTACTATTTAATCATCTTTTAAATAAATATAAAACTAAATATCTTACTTAAATATTTTTAGATATTGTTTTTACTATGACTTTAATTTTTGGAAAAATTTAAAATTTGATCAAAAAAAAAGTGTTGTTTATTATCGCAATTAATTATTGAGACAAAATAATTTCATTCGTGGTCTAAACCTTGGATAGTATCTTTTAAGCAAAATTAAATGTTTGCTATTAAATTTCTGAAATAGGTTAATCCATTCAATTTTAGCAACGTTTTTAAAAAGTATCATTTTTTTTGCATCATCCTATATATTAAAAAGTAGGGTTAATGGGGAAATATAAAAAATAAAGTAAAAACTGTAATGATTGTGGAAAATTTGTTGTACAATATGTTAAATGTTGATGAGGGATATAATGTTGTTAGCCGGATCGAGCAAAAGGCATAGGACTCATTTGAACTAAACTCGAATAATTAAATTTGAAAGGTCAATTTTAATTCCAAAAGTAGATTTTTATGATGGATAATTGAGTAACTTAAATTATGTTTGGGTATCATATTTCTTATTACTCAATCACCTAAGTCAAATTTTTCACAATATTTTAAAACAGTAAATAATTACCATCTGATCCATTGTTTAAAATATAGGTTTATGATTGCCACATTTGGCTATAATATATATTAGTAAAAGCCCGGCCTAGCCCAAAATTTTGTTTAAAAAAGTTTTGCCGGCCCGGCACGAATCCGGAATTTTTTAAAAGATTTTTGCCGGCCCGGCCCGATTTTATTTAATAGAAATTAATTTTTATAATTACTCAAAATAAAAGACACATGTTATATGGCGTCTAGTTTTATAAATAAAATCAAATATTTTTATTTACATAAGAAATTGAATATAAAATTGATAAATCTAAATATATTTTAAAAAAATTCCAAAACCCGACTCCACCCGGCCCGAATTTTTTTAAAAATATTAGGCCCGACCTTTGCAGATCTCTAATATATATTTAAAAAATCATAATTTTCTGAAACCATCTGTGACCTAGTCGATAAGAGCATGGCTTGCCAATTCTATAGTTCTGGATTTGGAAAGAAAGAAATAAGGACCATTATTTTTTCTGAAGACAACACGGTATTTCCGTCTGGGAGGGGGGGGGTGATATATAGTAGTTAGAGGCAACCGAGAGATTTCACTATATAATATATATGTCGTAATTTTTAAAGGGATCATAACTATCCGGGATTATCACAAGATTTAAAGGGATCCCTTTAAGAATTCAATTTTTTAAAGGATAAAGAACTATACAGCATTATCACGTTTGAACCATGATATAGAAGAATTTTATTTTTAAGAGCGTTTTACGCGCGTTTCGCTTTATTTTTTTAAAATCATTTTAATTTTTTTACCGAATAAAGTTTATCATTATTTATTATTTTCATTGTTTTTTTTGGCCTTATGAAATAAGATATGTCTAATATAGGGTATCAATCTATAGCTAATCAAAAGATCTATTCATCTGGAGGTCAATCTTTCCCCCATAATGGGCGGGTCAAGGTCTTGGGGGGTCAGAAATATTTTTATCAACACAAAATATCGATATGGGATCAAATAAAAGCTAATTTTAATATCGTTTGTCTGAAAGTCTTCATTCTGTGTCCTGATGGGTATGACTTGGTCTGGAGGGGGGGGGGTGAAGGAAGGGGGCGTGTAAAATTAATTTTTTTGATATGGGTATCAAATAAAAGCTAATTTTAATATCGTTTGACGGAAAGTCTTTATTATTGGCCTTGATGGGTATGACTTGGTCTGGGAGGGGGGTTGATGGAGGGAGGGGGGTAAAAATTGTTTTTTTGATATGGGTATCAAATAAAAGCTAATTTTAATATCGTTTGATTGAAAGTCTTTATTCTTAGTCTTGATGGGTATGACTTGGTCTAAGAGGGGTGGGAGTGGGGGGGGGTTGTAAGAAATATATTTTTTTGATATGGGTATCAAATAAAAGCTAATTTTAATATCGTGTGATTGAAAGTTTTCATTCTTGGTCTTGATGGGTATAACTTGGTCTGAGAAGAGGGGGGGTGGGGGGGGGGGTAAAATAAAATTTTTTTGATATGGGTCTCAAATAAAAGGTATTTAAAATATTTTTTTATTATAATAATAATAATCACTCATAGTGGGTGGATTTAGCTCTTGGGGGGTCAGGAATATTTTTATCAACTTAAAATATCGATATGGGTAGTGTTGTTAATCGACTAAATTTAGTCGACTAACACACGACTAACTAATAGTTTTAGTCGAAAAATTCGACTAAGAACTTTAGCAACTAAATTAGTCTATTAGTCGACTAAAACGACTAACATAGTCGACTAAAACGACTAATATAGTCGACTAAAAGAACTAATTAAGTCGACTAAAAGAACTAATAAAGTCGACTAAATTAAGTCATTAAACATAACATAATCGTTATTTTTGATAAATTTTTTAGGTAAAAATATATGTTGTAAAGATGTAAAAATAAAATTTCAGTGAAGATGTACCATCATAGAAAAATAATAATTGTTATTTTTGAAAAGTAAATAGATAAAAATATATTTATTGTAAAAGTGTTAAAATAAAATTTCAGCGAAGATGTACCATAGAAGAGTGACAATTGTCATAATCGTTATTTTTGAACTTTTTTGAATTTTTTTAAAGTAAATAGGTAAAAACATATATTGTAAAGATGTTAAAATAAAATTTCAGTGAAGATTTACCATAGAAAAGTGACAATTGTCATAATCATTATTTGTGAACTTTTTTGAATTTTTTCAAAGCAAATAGGTAAAAATATATATTGTAAAGATGTTGAAATAAAATTTCAGTGAAGATGTACCATAGAAAAGTGACAATTGTCATAATCGTTATTTTTATACTTTTTTGATTTTTTTCAAAGCAAATAGGTAAAAATATATATTGTAAAGATGTTGAAATATAATTTCAGTGAAGATGTACCATAGAAAAGTGACAATTGTCATAATCGTTATTTGTGAACTTTTTTGAATTTTTTTAAAACAAATAGGTAAAAATATATATTGTAAAGATGTTAAAATAAAATTTCAGTGAAGATGTACCATAGAAAGGTGACAATTGTCATAATCGTTATTTTTGAAATTTTTTGAATTTTTTTAAAGTAAATAGGTTAAAATATATATTGTAAAGATGTTAAAATAAAATTTCAGTGAAGATGTACCATAGAAAGGTGACAATTGTCATAATCGTTATTTTTGAATTTTTTTAAAGTAAATAGGTAAAAATATATATTGTAAAGATGTTAAAATAAAATTTCAGTGAAGATGTACCAGAGAAAAGTGACAATCGTCATAATCATTATTTTTGAACTTTTTTGAATTTTTTTAAAGTAAATAGGTAAAAATATATATTGTAAAGATGTTAAAATAAAATTTTAGTGAAGATGTACCATAGAAAAGTGACAACTGTAATAATCGTTATGAGTGAACATTTTTAAATTTTTCAAAGCAAATAGGTAAAAATATATATTGTAAAGATATTAAAATAAAATTTCAGTTAAGATGTACCATAGAAAAGTAACATTTGTCTATTTTTCAACTTCTTAGCTGAAACGAGCAGACTTTTAGTTACGCCCCTTTATCTTATTGGGCGAGCTAGCTAAATAATATCAAAAATTACGAGCGGACCGGTTAAAATTTTTTTACTTTTAATTTTTATTTAAAATTTATCAGGTAACATTAAAAAATATATGCTACATAAAATTTTAACATTTGTCCAAAGTACAAATAATTGTTGTGGATGTTGTATGTGGGAAAAGCTTATGAGATTAAAAAACTTCTTAGATTTTATTTACATGGATGAATATAAATCGACATGAATAATGATTTCACCTGTGTCCCAAAAGAAAAGAAAATTTAATTATTAAATTTTAAATGCACTGTTTGAAATAGGTAGCATCCACGTCAAGATTAATTCACAACATAAGATTAGATGAGGTTATGAGATGAGAGCACACTTTTTAATTACATAATCATTTAAATTTTAAAGTAAGTTTATTGATTTTTTAACTAGCACCATTATTTTTTTGTACATTTCTTTAATTTATTATTTTAGAAAATATAAATCCCTCTTACGTTTCTCTTTCCTAATGTTATTTAAAATTTGTAATAATAATTTAGCAAGATTTTTTGGTTCTTTAAATTATTTCATTAAAATGTATTATTTATATTATTTTAAATTTCAATGATTATGCCTTGATGGCGCCAGTAAGTTTTTGTATAAAATTTTTATTTTAAAAAAATTTTTTATTTTAATTTATATTAAAAAAAAAAAATCTTTTTTAAAATAATTTACATTTATAATGAGTAGTTTATCTTTATCTTCTTCTTCAAGCAATGCCATTACTATGATGGATTCTCAAGAGATAGTAGAAGATGAAGTAATTTATATTAATTTTATATTTAAAACTAATAAACCCAATGTTTTATAAAAAAAGACCTTATTTAGAGATTTAGAGTTAGAAAATAATAATACTATTATGAATTCTCAACAGAAGAATGAAGATGATGTAAGTTTTAATATTTTTTTATATATTTAATTTAAATTATTATACCTAATTAGTGTTTTCGGCCTGGGTTCAAGCCTGTTCAGAAGTTATTTAATATGATACCAATTTAGATAAATGATAAAAATATTTTATTCAAAATAGCGCACGGGTCGGGCTTCAGTCTACTCATGACTAATTAACCGGTTTGAATATGAGTCGTTTTGCCGGCCTCGGTCAACTATCTAGCAACAAAAGACATTGTGTTGTTAAAAAGACAGTTCACCCGACTCAGAGTCTCTAGACGTTATTCGAATTAGTTGATTAAAGTCGACTCTTTTATAGTCAAAACAATTGGTCCCTTTATTTTAAACTCTTATCTATATAGGAGAGACTGGGGTTATTCGAACCAATTTTTACAAAATTGGTAGCTCCTATGATTAGATACCTAAATCTATATTCTATAAAGGTGCCTTATAAAAAATCTTAAGATTATAATTATTTTTTTAAATTTTAATTTTTGTAAAAGTGATAATTTTATTCAACAAGTCCCGATAGCAGGGTGAGGCAAACCACTTCAAGAGGCTTCTTAAACCATTGGTTTTTTAGGCCATAAAATATTGAAATGCATTTTTATTTATTAATAATGATATGTATTGAATAATTTTATTGTTCAAAATATGATATTACTTATAAATTGAAGCTAATAAATAATATATAAAAATCGAAACTTAATTTTTGCTAATTTAATAACCATTTTGGACATAAAAAAATATGAATTAGAGATTAAGATTTCTAAGTATTCCCAAACCAATCATACCCGGTCCCCATTCCCTAAAGTTCTTAAATCAATTAGGTAGAAGAATTGCATTAAGGACAGGGGTCAAAAACGAGTCCTTATCTCTTAAACAAAAAATCCAATTCGAAATCCTAAAAATGTTTCTTCGAAACCTCCCTTTTCCCTCCTAGTTCAGCACCTATAATTTGCAAAATATTTTTTTTAGCGGTTTAAATCAGGGTTGTGCATTTGACCGGTCAAATAAGTTTCTGTCAATTGACCAATATTTAACCGGTAAAATATGGTCAAATTCAAATATATGTTTTTTTAAGTTAATATCTATATTATTAATTTTTTAAATTTCATTGTCATTAAATAACTAACATTTAGCTATCCGTAGCAGATTCTTGTTCTGATTCATATTATTATTTTCTTTAATATTTTTTAATCAATTTTCCTGATGTCTTAGATCTTCAATCGATTTCTATTTTTATAAGAATATTAACCCAAATTGACCTATTTCCTTCAAAATAAGAAGTAGAACTAGGAATTATTAATTTCTTAATGTGGTGGACAAACTTTAATCTATTAACTTGAGGTCGGAATTGATTGTTTTTGGAAATTACTACTTTCCTAATTCGCTATATTAAACATGCTGTTTTTGCTTTTTAAATTAATTATATCACTTAAAATATTTTGGTCATCACTATCTTGTAAAATAGCTAATTCTAGAATTATATCACATACTTCATTAAATTCACTACTAGTGAAATTCCCCTCTTGATATTGTTGACCCAAAAAATAAGCAAAAATTATGATCAATTTGACCGTATTTGACCAGGTCAAATACTCCTTTGGTTAAGTGACTGATCAATTGACCGACTTGCCAACCCTGGTTTAAATATTGATATAAATATCATAAATTATTTCTCGTGAAATATAGATATAGTATATAATATTTTTTTTTTCTTTCGTTAATCATTATTTTTTTTGATTTTTTTGAAAGTAAATGGTAAATACAGATATTGATGATGGTGAGGATAATTTTAATTATTGATAATATAGATATAGATTCGCCCACAAATGCACTCCACATAGAACTTGATAATATTCATGAAGGTGCTAATATTCATACAGTTACTGCTTTATTAATGGCAGGTAAAATTAGTAAAAGAAAAATAGGGAGACCTTTAAATAAAACTCCTAAATTACAAAAAGGTTCTAGGTTATTTCAGGTAATATAAGTTAGATGATAATATAGGGCATTGGCCAGAAGCGTCCAAAACTCGAAAAAGGAACTATGTGTTAGCGTATATTCAAGGACTAAGTGTGAAAAATGTGAAATTTATTTATACTCTAACCAGAATAGAAATTGTTTCAAAACTTTTCATAATAAATACATATATATTTTTTTATACATGCAATTCGCTCAATGATGTCAAATTGTATCGTGATTTTTTTTTTGCCTGTAAACTATGAAAAAAAAGTAGAAATAAAATTTGAAGATTTTTTATAAAAATTTTTTTTTAGTTTTATTTTAAAAAGTCGAGCTTTAAGGGTTAATTTAGAAATTAAATTTTTGATTAAATTATATTTCGTTGAATACAATTTTTAAAAAATGGAATTTTTAAGTTCTTTTTCAAAACTAAATTGATAGTAAGTATAAAGATACTGTAAGCACTGGATTACGTAGTAATTAACAAATATAAATTAAATGGTAAATTTTTTTAAAAAAATATTTTTTCAAAGGGAAAAGGCTAACATTTTAAACGTAATTTTAATTATTTTTATATCATTGAACTAAGAATTAAATTCTCTATCCAAAAATGCTTAGATTTTTTGGATTGTGATTTTAATTCTGAGTTCATTGATATAAAAATACTTAAAATTTCCTTGGATGATACTGTGTATTTTTTAAATGTTTTACGTTTTTGTTTTTACACCATTTAATAAATTCATTTGAAATAAATTGTGGTCCATGGTATTAATTTTCTCTCTACAAAAATAAATATTTAACCTTATTTATATATTCTGGTTTTCTATTTTTCTATATTTTTTAAAAAAAAATCAAACAACTTTTACTTTTTATTTCCTTTTTTATTCAATCAATAACATATATCGAAAAAAAAATATAATATAAAAACATTCTTGTTTGTTTTTCTTTCCACGCTTATATACTTGTTTTTTTTACCAATTCATCCTTTATTTATTATTTTTTTTATTACACGTCAATTATCTTTTTTCGGGTAGGTCTATAAGTCGAAAGGCTGCATGATACGAAAGGCTAAAAAATAATATTGAAAATAAAAATAACAAAGAAAATAATTAATGTGTAATTTGATTGATTTATTGCTTTTTTTACGAGAAAAATATTATAATAACATTACATTATAATATATTAAAAAAATGGAAATTTTAAGATCTTTTCAATTTTTTTATTAATTCTTTGAAATAAATTACGGTTTTAATTTTATTTAATTTTATTAATTTCTAATTTATATTTTTAATTAAATTATATTTATTTATTTAAAAAAAATGGAATATAATATATTAAAAAAATGGAAATTTTAAGATCTTTTCAATTTTTTTATTAATTCTTTGAAATAAATTGCGGTTTTATTTTTATTTAATTTTTATTTTTAATTAAATTATATTTGGTTATTTTAAAAAAATGGATTATAATATTTCAATTTTTTTATTAATTCTTTGAAATAAATTGCGATTATAATTTTATTTAATTTTATTAATTTTTAATTTATATTTTTAATTAAATTATTTGGTTATTTTAAAATATGGGAATTTTTAAAATTATATGTATATTCTATTTAAGTTTTTTTTCAAAACTAAATTGATAGTAAGTATAACGATATTGTGAGTACTGGATTAGGGAAAAGGCTAAATGCAATTTTGAATATTTTTATATCATTCTACTCAGAATTAAATTTCCTATCCAATTATGCTTTGATGTATTTTTTTACGTTATTGGTTCAAAAAATAAATTTTAAAAATTTTTTTGTGGTAAAAACGTTGGAAGGGAAAAGGCTAACATCTTATATGCAATTTTGAATATTTTTATATCATTCTACTCAGAATTAAATTTCCTATCCAATTATGCTTAGATGTATTTTTTTACGTTTCCGGTTCAAAAAATAACATTTTTGTCGCGAAAACGTTCGAAGGGAAAAGGCTAACATCTTAAGTTTAATTTTTTAAATTTTTATATCATTGAAATCAGAATTAAATTTCCTATCTAAATATGCTTTGATGTATTTTTTTACGATATCGGTTCAAAAAATAAATTTAAAAAATTTTTTTGTGGTAAAAACGTTGGAAGGGAAAAGGTTAACATCTTATATGCAATTTTGAATATTTTTATATCATTCTACTCAGAATTAAATTTCCTATCCAATTATGCTTAGATGTATTTTTTTACGTTTCCGGTTCAAAAAATAACATTTTTGTCGCGAAAACGTTCGAAGGGAAAAGGCTAACATCTTAAGTTTAATTTTTTAAATTTTTATATCATTGAAATCAGAATTAAATTTCCTATCTAAATATGCTTTGATGTATTTTTTTACGATATCGGTTCAAAAAATAAATTTAAAAAATTTTTTTGTGGTAAAAACGTTGGAAGGGAAAAGGCTAACATCTTATATGCAATTTTGAATATTTTTATATCATTCTACTCAGAATTAAATTTCCTATCCAATTATGCTTAGATGTATTTTTTTACGTTTCCGGTTCAAAAAATAACATTTTTGTCGCGAAAACGTTCGAAGGGAAAAGGCTAACATCTTAAGTTTAATTTTTTAAATTTTTATATCATTGAAATCAGAATTAAATTTCCTATCTAAATATGCTTTGATGTATTTTTTTACGATATCGGTTCAAAAAATAAATTTTAAAAATTTTTTTGTGGTAAAAACGTTGGAAGGGAAAAGGCTAACATCTTATATGCAATTTTGAATATTTTTATATCATTCTACTCAGAATTAAATTTCCTATCCAATTATGCTTAGATGTATTTTTTTACGTTTCCGGTTCAAAAAATAACATTTTTGTCGCGAAAACGTTCGAAGGGAAAAGGCTAACATCTTAAGTTTAATTTTTTAAATTTTTATATCATTGAAATCAGAATTAAATTTCCTATCTAAATATGCTTTGATGTATTTTTTTACGATATCGGTTCAAAAAATAAATTTTAAAAATTTTTTTGTGGTAAAAACGTTGGAAGGGAAAAGGCTAA